TTAGAATATTACCTTCGATGTACCATATACAGTAATACAGTTGATGGCTGGTGACGTATTTTATTAATCATTTCATTTGGGAAACCTTTTAGCATCTGTTGAAACACCTGCTTATAGTCTATATCCAAGGCTTGAAGTGTTTGTTTGGTGTATTTTGTCATCTGTTCTGACATATCATTACTGACTGTCAACACCAGAGCATATTTAGCAACTTTCTTCAAGTATTCACTATCAGACTGCATCGGATATAATGCATGGAATTCTCGCATGGAGTTGTATAGTTTCGCATCGCGAATCTTAACGATCCCACCACCGAATGCACTAGACACCTTGATGACACCAAAGCTGAAAAATGCGAGGTCGGACTCCGGATGTCCAACATTTTGAAGCCCGTGAAAACCTTCTGCGCAATCTTCAAGCACATGTAATTTATGCAAATGAGAGATGCGAATAATATCCTCCATTTTGAACCACTTCCCGTAGATGTGAGCTACCAGAACAGCCACAGTTTTTTCTGTGATCAAACTTTCTAAGACATCCACCTTTGGGCCAAGTGTCTCGGCACAGACATCTATAGGAACAGGTCGCAAACCGTGATGCTTTATAATAACAGCCATATCAGGTATACTTATAGCAGACATTATGATTTCAGACCCTGGGGGATATTTCATAACGCGCAGGTATAAATCAAAACCAGACCTCACACACAGACATGGGAGAACATAATTGGGATTTTCAGGTCGTGTCCACTGCTTGTGAATCATTTGGAGTATCTTCTCTCTTCCCAGTGAAGGATACGTTGATTCTTTAAAAGCAAAGACTACATCAGCCCATGACGCATCTGGGGAATCAAGAAAAATATATTTTATACACAAAACATTCAATCAAAGCACAGGTTAGCAGTATGCGTGTAACTGAGATCATGAAAGTAATATCAAAGAAATCAGGCTTGCAGTTTTTAACAAGTCCAAAATTATCACTTTTTACCAAAAATTACAAAAATATTCATCAAAATTAGCAAATTAAAGATATCATCACAAAATGAACAAATCTGAGAAAGGTCCACATGCAGTACCTAGATATGTGATATCAAAGCAATCAGACTTGTGGTTTTTAACAAGAAGTCGAAAATATCACTTTTTAACAATAATAACAAAGCTGGTCAATCCTTTCCCAGCAAAAATGACAAAAATATTCATCAAAAGTGAGCTAAATTTATGGCGGGGGGGGGGGGTCATGGGAAATTTGAAATTTTATGACAGCTGTTGGGGTGGTCATGAAATTTTAAAACACGACAACGTATAACAATATTTGTCATGTTTGATTCACTTTTTTACTTAAAAAAACAAAACATACTTGTAAATGTACTAGTATAATAAATAAAACATAAAACAACAGTATAAGTATACATGTACATGTTCTTTGGCCAAAAAAAAGGGTGTGATTTGATTGTAAATTTTTATGGTGGATTTTAAATGTATATAAAACCTTTGTTTGTCAATATGTATTAAAGATAGCAACAGAGGAAATGTGGACATATAAAATAATGAATAATAGTAACTAGCACCCTGATTTAACAAACTATGCATGTCTTTCTGGTACCACTTATTGTATTCAATATACTTTGCTATAACAATGTTTTTCTTGTCTGCACACAATTTCCCATAATGCAACACCCACTCTATTAAACTCTCATGTTATTACAGGAGAAATTGTTTGTACCAATATCATTCAGACTCTGAATCTGAAGTCAATGCATGTTTCTTTTTCTGACGGGCTTGTAAAATTGCAATCACGTTGTCATCATTAACAGGGTTCTCAAATGCATTGATGTTTCACAAGTAAATTAGACCATTGAGGTGTTTCCTGGGCAACAGCTTCTGTTTGGCAATTTTATTAGTACTAATAACAGTATCTGGTTTATGTCCATATTTAGATTTAACAACTTTTTCTCCCATATCAGAGCTGTATGCATCAACCAATATATTATAATGTTATTACGAAGATATCTCAAAGTATGCACGAAGACAGTACAGCGGCAGTATCGACCGACGCGCAGCAGAGGTTGATGCGACAGCGTACTGTCTGAGTGCATACTTTGAGGTATCTTCATAATAACCTTATTATTATACATCTTTTCCTTTCAAGGATACATCATGGAAATGCCGAAATCCAAAAAGTTTAGAACAGAATCAGCGAACTTCTTTGTATGGAGTCGGGTCAAATCATGGTGGCAGCCATGTTTGTTTTTATTATTAGAGGACGCTTACGCACGTAATCATTCTATATTTGGAATTCGCATTTCCAAATATGGTAGTATGAAAATACCCCGTAAAATATCGCAAAATTGCGGCACGCTGTAACTTATGGCGTTACAGTGACAGATGTATAATAATAAACATTATCGCCTATTTGATGGCTCTTTTTTTCTTTCTTCTGATATTCCTCCTTTTGTCTTTTTTCTTTCTATACGTTTTGTTCAAACTTGTTTTTCTGTTGATGCAACACAAGTGTTATGGAAGCGAGACATCAATTGTTGGAGTGTGGGTTATATCATTTTCTCGACTTGACATTGTTTCCAACCATTTCTCAAGGGTATCTAATCTCTTCTCAATATAACAAATTTCATTGTTGGTCCACAGTTTGGGATTGTGGTTGTCGTCATAAAATTAGGTCTTTCTGTTCTTTAACTTCACTTGCAAGGTTGTGTTAATTGGGAGAATGTGCTTACATTTTGACAGACTCTCTGTGCTTTCCCAACATCATGGACGGAAACCCCATGAGGGATACATGTGTATCTCAGCATATTTAAGTATTTAATATGGCCACAGATATGATGCATGTATTCTTTATGGAATGTAAACATATCGAAAAACTGGGTATTTGAGGGTGGTCATGAGAATAATAGGTGGTGGTTGGGTGGACTGCCAATTTTTTATGCAGCAAGTTGGGGGGGGTGGTGAAAAAAAGTAAAACAAAATAATTTCTCACCTCCCCCCCAATAAATTCTGCTCACACCCTAAAATAACAGGTAATGGTCAACCCATTTTGGTGTTCATAAAGTTCCTGTTTACCTCTATCTACTTTTTTGAAATTGCACCTTGGTATTATAACTAAGGGGTGCAGAAAACTTTTTGAAAATGATATGAATTTACCAACTGTTTCATTTTATAAATGAGAATATGGAAACCCACACTCTAAAAATAAATTTTTGTATTACACAACTTTTCCATCTGAGATAACAATCCCAGGGAGCACTGGGATTAAAATGTCAGCACACCCAGACAAAGCAAGCAAAAATTAAAATCTGCCTACTCCAGCTGGATTTACAAAATATAATTTTCATTGCAATGTTAGAAAATGATTTTTCTATCATTCAATATGTGCATAAATAAACTATTTAAAGACAAAAAGTCAATATTACAAACCAAGAAAATGTTGAATTCTCCCAATTGTATTTTTTTTTCACTACTTTTCATTAAAATAAATTTAGATTTGTGATGGATTCCTTTTGAGATATAATATTGGAAAAAAAACTGTTATGTTCGTTATGTTGAACATTTGGCAATGAACAATGTCTATAAATCCATTGGAAACTCTAGAAAGGGTGATTGTTAGAAAAACTGTGCATTTTTTTTTTCACTTATTTTTCAGCTAATTTTTCGTTTTTTATAATTCTTCTCCAAGATTTGCAGATTATTTTAGCTATTAATTTCTGCAGAATTTTCTTTTCCTGTGCAAATCTTTTTTTTTACCACTTCTGCAACACTCCCGCCGCAAATGTTCAATCATTTATTAAACCGATTGAACAGAGTTTTTGGTTGAGATGAAAAAATAGTAAAAATCACATCTTCACATTGGTTTGAATCATATGGTAATTTGTTTAAACACACTGGATAAGAATTGTCACACTTACCTATCAGGTAGCAGTGATAAGGAACATCGAGACTTCCCGCTTTTGCTTTCTCCGCCATCACGAGTTGCTTGTCATCCATCGTTGGGTGTCGAAATAATTGGTCTCATCTCGGCACCGCATCGATGCGGCACTGAACGCCCTCGCGGTACCCTGGGAAACGACGTGACGTTTGATGAGTTGAGGTCAGGCTATTGTTAAACGATAAACAACTATCCATATTCATTCACGCAAGTAATCCTTTCTCCTCCATCACGAAAGAGGCGACAAAAAGGAAGAGTGTGGTAGAGCGCCCCCTACGATTCAATCGCGAGATCAAATTCCGACTTGAAGACATTGGATAAGGGATCCACATTTGAAATTATGGAATGGCTGTAAGAGTGTGACAAGAGCATAATTTTCATGGTGTCTGTATGTTTGTATTTTTTTGATATTGCCAACATGTTTTTCTCGGTGTCTAGCATGATATTTTTTAAATCTTTCACCTTCCACACAACTCAATAACATCATTATAAAACCATTCCCTCTTTTTTTTTCAATTCTCCACTGAATAAATTTGAGTGAAATTTTTGGCAATCAATAACAATTTTATTGCAACTATCTCGATGAATTAAAGATTGTGATTTTTTTGTTACAGCACTGCAGTAGAACTTAATTCTTTTATATAATTTTCTGCACTATTGTAATCCCAAATAAATTTGGCTTGTAAAAGCAACAAATTTTTTATCTGTTAGCAGTAACAATTAGCAGTACAACACATATTGGCCTTTTTGTGTATGAAAAAGTTTGTGTTTCTTAGGTATATGATTTATTACATTCAACACTTGGTGGCGCTATAACCCACAAATCGGAGATTACTCCAGTAATGCCAATTTAATCAAGGCTTCACAAAAGTAAAACAAGCAGCCTCTCGGCTGAGATAGCTCCGCTGTTTGCAATGCACATTTTAATTATAGAACAGAAGATATCATTAGAAAATGAACAATATGCATAGTATCATTGCAATGGGACTTGCTGTTTTCAACCAAAATTCAAAAATGTCATTTTTCACCATAAATGATTGTGGTTTTTAACAAGAAGAAAATATCACTTTTTAACAAAAATGACAAAAATATTCACCAAAATTACTGTAGATAATTAAAGATATCATTACAAAATGAACAAATCTGAGAGAGGTCAACATGTAGTACCTATATATGTAATAATATCAATACAATTGGACTTGTCGTTTTTAACAAGAAGTCAAAAATATCACTTTTTACCAAAAATGACAAAAATATTCGCCAAAATTAGAAAATTAAAGATATCATTACAAAATGAACAAATTT